CTCAGATGCTGCTTGGCCTGCTGTGTTCATCCAGCCCTGCACCTTGTTGTCATAAAAGCTTCAGAGTTGTATTAAAAAAAACAAGGCAAATAAAACATGTGAACAGTAACTGGAGCCAACATAAAACAGAATCCTATAGGCAGATAAACAGTAAAAGAGGGGTGGAAGTTGAGGAGTAGGGCTGGATTAAAAGAAGAGTTTATACATGGAGGCTAAGGGCATAATCGAACAATAACTTTGTATTTGTCTTTTCCAAGGGAGATGTGCAGGCCATGTAGAAAGCGAAGATAATTCAAAGTTAGAAGGGCTTAAGATGGAAAAAGGGGGTAGTATTAGCTGGGTTATCTGTGATCCAGACAGAATGAGATGCATCCCAGGATACCAGTGGATGTGGCAATTCCAGAGACACTGGCTTCAATCTTCAGTCTTCCTTAAACTTGGGTGGTGCTAGAGGACTGGAGAATTGCAGGCATTCCACTCTTATTCAGAAAAGAATGTGAAGTCAAAACAACCACTGGCCAGCAGTTTAAGTACAGTGATGGGGAAACTTCTGTAAACAATAATTTGGGAAAATAATTGTCACGTGCATAAATGCTACTTATTTTAAGGAAGGCTAGGTTGCATTTCTTGAGGAAAAGTCACATTTAACTTGCTAGATGTATTTGAAGAGGCAAGAGAGTTGATGTGATGAGACATGGTGAGTGTATGAACTTGTGGGTGTGGTTTATAGGCAGCAGTACGGTGTAGGCACGAGGAAATAATGGGGGCTTGTAAGAAAGGTATGATAATCAGGTGAATTCATGAATAGATTGCATGAATCAAATTGGCACAGATAACGTGGATGATGAGTTCCTAGAGATAGTTAGAACTGCAGATGCTGGAGTCAGAGATAACACTGTGGAGTTGAAGGAACACAGCAGGCCAGGCAGCATCAGAGGAACAGGAAAGCTGACGTTTCGGGTTGGGACCCTTCTTCAGAAATGGCGAGGGGGAGGGGAGCTCAGAAATAAATAGAGAGAGGAGGGGTGGGGCTGGGAAGATAGGTGGGATGGTGGTAGGTGAGTGCATGTAGGCAGTGCTTGGGATTGGTCAGTGAGGTGGGAGTGGTGGAAAGGTGGGAGAGAAGATGGACAGGTTGTGTCAGGTCAATGAGGTGGGAATGAGAGGGAGGTTTGGTCATGGGATGAGGCCAGGGATGGGGAGATTTTGAAACTGGTAAAATCCACGTTTAGACCATTGGGCTGTTGGCTCCGGAGGTGGAATATGCTCCTCCAGTTTGCGGGTGGCATCACTGTGACTCTGGAGGAGGCCCAGGATGGAAATGTCTCCCAGGGAGTGGAAGTGGGGAGTTAAAATGTTTTGCGATCAGAAGGCTTTGTTGTTTGTCGCATACAGAGCGCACATGTTCTACAAAATGGTCTCCGAGTGTCCACTTGGTCTCACCGATGTAGAGGAGGACACATCAGGTGCAGCGGTAGACCAAGTTGACGGATGTGTAGATGAACCCATGTCTGATGTCAAAGGTTTGTTTTTTTGCCTTGAATGGAGGTGGGGGGGGAGGTGTAGGGCCAGGTGTAGCACTTCCCTGCAGTTGCAGAGAAAGGTGCCAGGGGCGGTGGAGTTAGTGGGGAGTGTGGAGCAGACGAGGGAGTCACGGGGAGAGAGAGGTCCCTACGGAAGGCAGATAGGGGTTGGGAGGGAAATATATCTTTGGTGTGGGGTCAGGTTGTAGGTGGCGGAGAATAATACATTTGATGCGGAGGTTGGTGAGGTGATATGAGGACGAGGGGGATTCTGTCTTTATTTTCGTTTTAGTTGGGGGGAGGCGATGTGAGGGCAGAGGTGTGGGAAACGCAAGAGATGCGTTTGAGGGCATTTTCAATCACCAGAGGGGAGAAGTTATGGCCCTTGAAATAGGAGGACATCTGGGATGTGCTGGAGTGGAACACCCCACCTTGGGAGCAGATGCGGCGGAGGAATTGGGAGTAGGGGATCACATTCTTAGCAATGAGTTCATAGACTGTTTTTGTGACAGTTTCATAGAGCAGTATATTCCAGAAACCATAAGACATAGGAGCAGAATTGCCCATTTGGCCCATTGAGTCTGGTCTACCATTCGATCATGGCTGATATGTTTCTCAACTCCATTCTCCTGCCTTCTCCCCATAACCTTTGGTTCCCTTACTAATCAAGAACATGTCTATCTCTGTCTTAAATACACTCAATTACTTGGCCTCCATAGCGTTCTGTGACAATAACTCCAGAGATTCACTACCCTGTGGCTAAAGAAATTCCGCCTCATCTCAGTTCTAAAGAGTTGTGCCTTTATTCTGAGGCTGTGCCGTTGGATCATAGTGAAAACATCTTCGCCATGTCCACTATCTCCACGCCACTTGGTATTCTTTAAGTTTCACTGAGATCCTGCCCCTGCACCACCACTCCCCCCTCTTCCCCCAACAAAATAATCCTTCTAAACTTGGAGTACAGTCACAGAGTCCTCAGCTGCACTTCATATGACAAGCCCATCGTAGAATTTACAGTACAGAAGGAGCCCATCTGATCCCTTGTGTCTGTGTCGGCTTCTGAAAGAGCTACCCAGCTAATCCCATTCGCCAGCCCTTTCTCTAACTCACTGAAATCA